ACATAGCTTTCTCTGAACTCATATTTTAGAAATCATCTTAGTATTCACTCAGATAGCTTATCTAGTTGGCAATTGAATATTAGTTCATCTGCATCTAGCTAAAGCCGTGATAGTGATCTTCTAGACTCTGAAAAAGAAGACTATGCTCACTTTTTCATCTGAGTGTTACGGCGCAGCTGCCTAGTTAGATAGAAGAGTTGAAGCTGTTGTCTTATTATCATTCTGACTCTAGTTAAGCCATAACATAATACTAAACTCCTATTTCTTATAAGCCCTGGGAATTGAGTAGACAAGCCTTATATCCATGTCCATGTCCATGTTCACATCCACGTCCATGTCTATGTCTATACCATTATCTGATTAAGCTCTGCTGAGTACTCAAAACCTTTGTTATTTTTATCTTTCTTACTTTCATTATAAAAAGTTCTCTTGCTGCTCTTCACCAGGAATTTAGAAGTACTATTCAGAAGCTTCACAGTCAAAATCAACAGTTGCAGACTAAATGCCAATCTTTGTGGGCTGAATGCTAATCTTTGCATACTGCTCTAAACAGCTCTCAATCTCAATTCTAATTCCATTCAAAGCCCTCACTGCCAGACCCCAAAAAGTTCACTGATCAAACCCTGAAATTTAACACCTAGCTCCCATTAATCAAAGCTAAACTACCATTGATCAAGCTGCTATTAGAGATCAAATTGCCCAGTTCTACTATATCTACTTGAATTTAAATTCAAATATACAAGTAATGATTTTTCCCCAGGTAGCTCAAGTTGAAGAAACAAGAAATTGGAACTACAACTCCATTTTCAATCAACTTTCTCATGTATATGACAATTCAAATAAGATAATTGAGGTGGAAGACAAACTACATAGTATAAAGCAGGCATCAGATGAATCTTTAGTAGTCTATATTGCTAAGTTTGAACATATTCTCTATGAGACCAGAGCTCAGGATTGGCCAGATTCTTCAAAGATATCTCAATTCCATCAAGGCCTCAGTGCATCAATTTGGAATTATCTAGCTCAGCAGCTAAATCTTCCTTGAACCTACAAGAAATTTCTATATATTGTTCAGCAATTAACTTTTAGTTCTTTATTTTCATTCACACCTCAAGCTCACATTAATCACCCTGATCGCACTGATCACTATGAACATCATGACCTTATGAATCTCAATCAGATTCAAGTTAATGCTCTTGATCTTTCAAATGATTCTCCATCATATACCTTATTAATTTCACCCTATTAACAAGATAAATTCTGTCAAGAAAGCCATTGTGTATACTGTGAATCTCATAATCATTGAGTTGAAGACTGTCATTTCTGTTCATATTCTCCTAAGCTCTATCACTGTCAAACTGTTAAAAGAATCTCAGCCTCTAAGTAAGAATCTAATGATGACTCTGATGTTATTGAGGTATGGAAGAAAACCTATGAGAATATGATAAATGATGATCAAGGTGATTAGCCTACTGATAAGCTTGGTGAATTTTCATTTTACTCTTTTCTTGCTTCTAATATAGCTGCTTGAGAGCAAGCACTTTTTTAAACCAGGGGGTAATGTTATAGCGCAGCTGCTTGTATATAAAATAAGGTTGATTCACCCCACTATACTCTAAAGGTTGATCCATTTTGACCTCAACCATATTCAGTCACTTATGTTAATTCGATCCGATCCCCAATCATATATGCTTTGAAGATTGATCTGATCTAATTTTCAATCACTATATATATTTAGCTGCTCGTTCATTTCACATTCTAACTCTCAGTTTAGTATTCTCATCACAGCTGCCTAGTTAAATGGAAGAATTGAAGCTGTTGTCTTGTTATCATTTTGACTCTAGTTGAGTCATGACACTGAGAAACTTTTTTTTTTCTTGTATTGCTTGAGCTGATTTAAATGAATCTTCATAATATTATTCTTCAACTATTATATGAGCACTCACAGAAGAAATTCAAGATGCTCTTCTCTAATCTCACAATAAAGTAGAATATGAAGGCTACTTGTGTATAATTCAAGATGATGTGTAAAAGAGTCACTAACTCTAATATAAGTTTTTTTCAAAAATTTATATTTGAAGATGTTATCTGGCAGTGCAGAGAAGATGAACTAAGTAATGATAATTCAACATTCTTCTTGCTGCTGTCAGCGCAGTTAAAACCTTCTGTATTCATTACTATATGCTCTTTGCAGCTCATAGTATCAAAGAAACTCATGTTCACATTTAGTGATCATTTTAAGCTCTAGTTCTGATACTGACTAAGCTGATTCTGTTGAGTGTAACTCTGACTGTAACTGCATCTACAACTTCTCTTTCAAGTTCTGAATTGATATTGTCTCACTGCTTCTTTCATCATCAGTTTCATTATCATATTCACACTTGGCATCATCTTCAAAAGGTGATATTTCTCAATTTTCACTAAGAATTTCTTGTGTCATATTCTTCATCTGATCTATTATTTGAATCAATTGAGTTATCTGATGATGATTCAGATTCACTGTCAGTTAAGCAAAAAAGACTCAAATGAACAAATTATAAAAGAAGTTGATTTATAATTAGAAGACTTGATTTAGATTATCTCTGAGAATAATAAAAGCTCACTGCTAAGAATTCTTGTTCAAACACTGATCAGATTTTAAACTGACAACTTAAAGTTATTGTATTTATTTGAAATCTTGTTCAGCAGAGAAAGTGTCATTGTCAATAGAGAGTTGAAATTGCTGCTTGCAATTATAAGATATGAAATGTGCTTGCTGTACTCATAGTATTTTGATATTTTTGAAGTGATAATTTTGATCAGAAAAGCAGCATCTTTTTTGTTTATAACAATCTCAACACAGGTAAATGAGAGAAATTCTGCTGATATCATTCTATCTGCTCACTTTCATCGTATTCTCCCCTCAGAAAGAATCACAGTAGTGCAGAAATGTCAGCACCATAAAGATAAAAGATCAGTCAAATTCTGATAAAATAAGGCTGGAGAATGAGTGTTCATTCATCATCTTGTAACATCAACCTCTATCTACATATAAAGTAAAAAAAGATTGTAATCTCTCTTGCTTTTTATTTTCTAAACTGTAACACTGATTGAAGAGTTGCTAGATAATTGTCATGTGATCAAAGTCACTTCAATGTATAATCTTATGATATGAACATGAATTTCCAATAGTAAATCAGTCTGTTAATTCATTTAAAATATGGATCAAATATTGCATCACATTGTCACATCGTCTCTTTCCCTCCTGGTCAATTTTAGCAACTAGGAAACTGAAGCTGAAGCCCCTTTTCTAGTGGACATTCATCTTTGTCAACTTAATATCTTGCTACTAATCAAGAGGAAACATAGCATGACTGAGAATTCATCTGTACTGCAGCAGTCTGGATCATATCCATATCATGCATCAGCCACACTATGACACTTAAATCATCAGGAAGATTTTTTTCCTCATTTGAATATATCATCCTTGCAACTAACCAGACCTTCCAGATCTTGCACCCTGGTCAGGGCCTGACACGTAACGGTCCGCGGCGCAGCAAGACAGATACCATTTCTGCCATGCAGAGGCCTTTTTTTTTTTTTTTTTTCCATTGGCGTATCATCTCAATGATTGGAGGCTACCCATCACCAGCGTGCACCACAGGTGAGAAACATCGGGTTTGCCAACCAATCGTGAAAGGGAGAAATCAAGGACAACAAATACCAAGGCACAGACAGGATGGGATTGGCAGTGTTGATAGGATAGGTGTGCAGAACCTCAAAACATCAAATGTTGGATGTAGAGCAATAGCTAGTTGTGTATGTAACAAGAAAATGAGATCAACAAAGTGAACAGGAAACCTCCTCAGCCAGCCACAGCTCCGGGCAGAACTAGATATCCCAGTAGCGGGCCTCAGTCTGTGCATGATTTTAGAGTAACTTGACAGTAGGGTGAGGCGAAATTGCACTGGGGAAGAAGTGAAGTGGACATGGTCACCATGTCAAGAACAGTTTCAGCTGCGGCACAGCTGGGCCAGGTGACACTAGCAGTGGGGCCCAAGAGGAAGAAGGAATGAGCACAGCACACATGAGACAAGAGAATTATGAGGAAAGAAAGGGAAAATAAGGACGATGGAGGGAAGATGTTTGAGCGGCGGGAGGAGGGGGTTTATATAGTCCAGAAAGCAGTGATGTTGCGCTAAACCTGATCGGGCGGGAGCTAAACCATGGAAGGCAATTCACCATGGTACGGTATACCTATGTAGTTAGGTAGCTGATAGTTAACCATTCAGACTGCACAATATGTGGGAATAGACCCTCTAGCTACTCCGGGAAGCAACATTGGTAGCACACTTTTTAATATATCTCCATTTCTTATATCTTTATATTATGTTGATATCGTTTGAAAACGGAATTTCGTCTTACGGAAAGGCAAAATGCCGGTCAAAGGATGCAGCGAGGGGTCATACTTTACCTGCTGGATACTTCCATCACGTGACATGTTCTACACCATATAGTCGTTCTCGTAGCGTGCAAACTCTGCAATCAACCAAGCTTGCCATTCTGTCATTACCTTCATGGTATTCTCTTCTGAAACCTTTACACTTTGGTCTAGAGCGTGGGGGACGGACAGGGTTTAACGAGTGATGTTCCGCAGTATTACCTCGAGCCTAGATGGAGGATGTCAGTTCTAGAAACTTCATAGTGAACTAATTATTACTAGTACTCTATATGAGGCAAATACCCGGGTAGCTAAGTAGAGCCCCAGGCACATGTATGCACGTGCAGGACAAAAATTCATGATGGGAGTTAAGTGGAATCGTAGCTGGATGCATGGAGGAGCCGGGGTGGATAAGCGTCTAGTTATCATCGATAAACGTAAGTGCTCCTTGGAGTAAAGCATTTCTGAATTCTACAAAAACGAACTATAAGGGTATAAATTAACCTCTTGCTAACAAAGTACACTTCATCTCAGTTCTAAAAAAATGGATAAATATACATATAAAACGAGACCTTCTACTCTACAACTCTAGCCCCGCATCTGGCCCTTTCGGTATAAACCTCCTCATAACCCTCTCCACCCAGTCAGCGTCAGCAGGAAACCCCAGAGCCTCCGCCTCTCTAATCCCCCTGTTCATGCGCCTTATATACTCCTGCTTCGGCGGACCCTCCTTCACTTTATATTCATTAACATACACCAAAACCGTCAGCTCCTGCGCCTCATCCCACTCTAGATTTCCACTCTCATCCAACCACTTAACCACCGTCGCAGGAACATACCACTTATTATAACTCCCCTTGCCCTGTTCGCGAGGGCGCATATGTCTGCCAACTGGGCCATCTGGCGGGGAGGGTGGTGCTGAACAGTCGACTCCCTCATACCTGTCCAAGAGACCTTCATCCTCAGGGGTCATTTTGTAAAGAACTCCGTAAACAACTTCGTCGTCAGCTTCCAGAGGTGGATTGGAAAGAGAGTCTGGAGGCAGAACGTTCGCATACCCGGCCTCACATATGAACCACTTCCACCGGTCAAGGCGCGCGATCGCGAGGGGCTTGGCTGAGATGGCTGGGTTGAAGATGCAACGCTGGCACATTTGGGAGTGGGACAGATTAGAACCATATGCAAAGTAGAAATACTCGTTAGGCTGGGGTGGAGAGGCTGCAATTTTAAGAGGTGCTTCGAGGGATGGTTCCGAGATTATGGTTGTCGTTGGAAATGAAAAGGGTGCGGCGTCTACAACTGCTGCAGCTGTTGGACCTGACCCAGAGAGTTCAGAGGTTTCTTCGCGCATCTCTCTATCCTTTCTTGCCTTTCTTGTTTTCTCAAGGCTATTTCGTATGCTATGCGGGTATATACCCGGGGAGTTGAATATGCTCGAGCGACATTTCTTCGGCCCCGCGCCTGTAATAATATGTTTGAACTGCGTCGATGTTTACGGGATCGGAGGCAAATCCGAAGCCACGTGACCAAAGGCTTTCCAACCAAGGTATTAAAAGCAACCTCTTGCACTAAGGGAGCTTCTACCGTCATCGACAACTCTATTATATCCCATTATATACACTATGAAATGAAAAGAACCCAAGAATTCAGCCATCAAAAGTTCCTTAGAAAATGCATACCTATTCTAGAGAATTAAACAAACATATTCAAATCATTTGCAAATATAATAATAATACATACTTCATTTAATTAATTCAACTTCCAATCTGAGATATCACATCATTATCATATAATTAATAATATTCTATTATCTAATGAGCACTGCCACTATGAGCATCTCAACTACAAATCAATCTTTCTACTATTTCAATGAATTTCTCAACAATTATGAATAGATATTATATTAGCTATTAATTATTAAAGAATATAGTTTCTAAGAATATAAATAATAGAATAATTAAAAAAACTAATTAATATTGAGCTTGATGATACAGTTTAAGTGATAAAAATATAATTAAGATAGAAAATTTGATAAAAAAGTACTAGAAAAATCAATAAAACTTTAATTAATTATATTCTCTAATAAGAAAATTTGTATAAAAATAGAAGAATATTTAATAAAAAAATTTTAATTTCACTAGAACATAGAAAATGAATAGATTTATTTAATAATTTTTCATTTTTTTATAGTCTTTTACTTTATTTTATTTCTCTTTTCTTTTTAATTTTAAGTTTTAAAATTTAATACTCAGCTATTTTTTAAGTATATTATTTCTTTTTATAAAAAAATATTAAATTTTTACTTTAATTACTTTGTTAATTTAATATTACTTTTTAATTTTTAAATAAATAATTTATTAATAAGTAATTTTAATTTTGTTAGAAGAAAAAACTATATTTAACTGATATATTTTTTGTTAAATAAATTTATAATCTTATCTCACTTTTATTTTTTTTTAGTTTCAAGCTATTAAATAAAATTTTTTTCTTATTAAGTAATATTTTTTTTAATAAGTTTTTTATTAGTATAAATTATTTATTTAAAATTTTAATATAAAGTAATTATTAAATTATATTATTTTAATCTTATAATATATTTTTAAGTTATAGTAAAAGTAATAGATTTTATATTTTTAAAATATTAAAATTTTTAATAGTTATTTAAAATAAAATAAATAAATCTTTATTTATTTTAAAATAGTTTTAATATTCTATTTTATAAATATATTATTTTATATAATATAAAATAATCTCTAAAAGTCTTATTTAATAAGTTTTAAAAAGTTAAATTTAAAATATAAAAAATATTTTATTTTATATAAATATATTATTAATAAAAAAATAAAATCTTTAATTTAAAAGTTACTAATAATATATAAAATAAAATAAAAAATAGTAGAATTATTATATTTTATTTATAAAATTTATAAATATTATATTAATATAAAATAATTATTTATTAAAAATTAAAATTTTTATAAAATTAGTTATGATCATGACTTTAATTTACATATAGATATATAGATAGTTAATTGTCAACTATATAAGCTACTTCAATAATAAATTAAAATAATTTTTAAAAAAATAAATTTAGAGAAAACTCTATTTATATATTTTTTTTCTTAATATAATTATTAAACTATTACTAAAAAGTTCTTATATTTATAAAATAATTATAAAATAATTATTATATTATTATTAGATAATTGTAATTACTTTTCTCAGCTCAATAATTTTATTTTATCAAGTAGTTTAAATGAAACTTATTTTACACTATTATATTATCTATTTTTAAAGCTCTAATATACTCTTATACTAATAAATTATTATTTGCTTTATTTATTAAATAATTATTTTTTTCTAAGTCTTCAGTTTTTTTTTTTAATTCTTTTAAAGATTCTGTCTTTATTGAATTTATTATAAAAAATTTTTAAATCAAATATAGTAGTTTTTTTTTTTAATTTTTATACTAAATATTATATTAAATTATTATTAAATCTTAGCTACTTTATTTAATATTAAAGTTTCTTATAGATAATATAGTTTATTAGAATATTTTTTATTTTTTACTTATTTTTATTTTATATTTTAACTGATTCTAATATTTTATTTAGTTGTTCTAATATATAATTTTTTATAGCTTTTTATATATTACTAGAGAAAAATATTAAATAAATTTTTATATTATTTAAGAATTTTAGTTTATAGCTATTATCAATTTTATTAATAATTTCAAAGAGATTTTTATTTTACTCTATGAGTTTTCTACTGAAATATTATATTTTATAATTTTTGAATAATAGAAAGACTTTATTTTCTACTTTAAAGTTGAGCTTATGATGATATTTATGTTATAGTGTAGTTACTTGTATATAAATTAAAATTAATATATTATAATTTTCAATTATATTTTTATATCAATTACTTATTCATTTCATATTCTAATTTTTAATGTAGTATTTTCATCATAGCTATGTAGTTAAATAGATATATTAAAACTTTTTTTATTTATTTTGACTTTAAATTGAATTATAATATAATACTAAATTTTTTTTAAAAAAAGCTCTGAAGATTGAGTAGCAGACTTATATATTTATATTTATATGAGCTTTTAAATAATTATAACTGTGCTGAATACTTAAATTCATATTTATATTTATATATATATTGATATCTATATTGATATTTATATCTATATCTATATTTATACTCATATTTAAATAATCTCTTTAGAAGTTGTGACTATATTAAATACTTAAAAATTTGATTAATTTTTAGTTTTATATATTTTTATTTTTATTATAAAAGCTTATTTTACTATTCTTTATTATGAATTTAAGATATTATTTAAAAGTTTTATAATCAAAATTAATAGCTTTTATTTTTATTTAAAGTCTTTATTATTAAATTTTAAATAAATTTTTAATATTTTATATTACTAAGTTAAATATATTCTCTATAAAATTAAAGTTAAAAATTGATTAAATTTTTCAAAGATTTTTCAATTCTCTCTATGATGTTAAAACCTTTTATACTAGTTTCTTATTTTTATACTACTTACTAAATTACTTCAGAATCAGCATTTTTTAAAGAATTAACATCTTTTAAAAATTAATATTATCTTAAGATTATATATTTTAGAATCAGCAATTAAAATCAATACTTCTCAAAATCAGTATTTTAGAATCAGTACTTTTAAAAGAATAAAATCAGTATTTTTAAGAAGTTAAATTACTTTATCACTAATTTTTCATTTCATAAAAAATTATATATAAAATCTATTACTATTTATTTATGTATATAAATATTATAAATTTTTATTTTTTTTTTAAGAGAATTAATGATTAGCTAATATTTAATTTAATTATATATTTTTATCAATTACTATTTTTTTTCTTTATAGTACTCATAATATTTATACTTTTACTCTATTATAATACTAGTTATAATACTTCTAACACTTTCTTTTAAAATTTAATTTATTTATCTTAAATATTCTTATACTATCAATATAAAAAATATGTAAAATAAAAATAAATATATAATGATATAAAGGATTTATTTATCTAATAAATGTTTTAAAATATTAGTTAAAAAATGAATTTAGTTTTATAAAAACTTAAAAAATGTTGAATTAAATTTTTTTTTAAATATAATCAGTATTACTAATAATTGTTATCAAGTTTCTATTAATATTTATAAATAAATATTTTTAAAATTTTTAATTTAAAGCTGAAAAGTATTAGATTAAGTTTATATGTATTATTTAAAATATTAATAAATTTTAATGTTAAAAAAATTTAATTTGTAGCAATAGTTTTTAAAATAATAAATTTAATAATTATGAAAGTTATATAAAAATTAAACTTTTAAAACTTTATTATATAAATAAATA